TTATCTATTGCTATGAGTCTCCATCCAACAGGCTGAATATCCTATTAGTATACAAAGGGTGAACTCCTCATGTTTTAAGCAACATATTTTGCATTACAAACACTCTTTTGCGGGATCAGTGTTGCACATCTTGACATTGCAATGAGAAAATATTGTAGCTATATTGTGCAGCCTTGGTTTCTATGCAGATTTACTGGTGTAGGGGCTACTGCCTGTATCAGTTGGCTCGATCAACTGATCATCAGTGTGAAATGATTACTTTCCAAACTTCAATGAGACCTAGAAAGTCACAGCTGCATACCATCTTCCATATCATGTCACAATTGACAGCTTGTTTGAAAATTTCAAATTTCACTCTGCTTTTAAAGTGAAGTGGATGAACGAGTTGCAACCAATCAAAGACACTGATTAGGTCTTAGTCAATAGTTTATCTCTTGATATAGTGTTGTATCCCAAGAATATGAACATTGTCCACTATTTTACATTTGCAAAATCAACGAAAAGGGTCTTATCACTGTGACATGACATCTGTTTACTACAGGTGATGAAGTTATTATTCATAATTTGCCACAAAACTTCACTTCAAAAAAGTCTAATCAATTTCTTTAAAAGAGATCTATAACTAAGAGAAATGAGAAGTAGAATAGAAACCTGAAGCTCATCCTTGCTGTCAAATGATTTTAACTCAGTTAGTCTAAAAGTTGACAAAAATAAAAAAAAAATCATACTAAAATCTTTCATTTGAGCCCATTGCCCATTCTTTTATGACTTCAGGACTGTACTCATGTAACATATTAAATTGTCACAGAACAGCTCTTAAGCTTTACTTTTGCTGTACAAAAGTCCTAGTTTGGTACATCCATTCAAACCAAGAATACCTTGGTCATAGCTGATCCTGTTTTCATCCCTTGCTTGTGTCAAAAAATGAATAAATGGGGGCTAATGACTCCAGTACTTCACACCAAAGCAATACAGGAATGGAGGAGGGTGAAATCATACTCCTTGGCTCTTAAACAGCAAAGTGAAAAAACATTTGGTTGCCTGGTGACCAATGGTAACAGCGGAGCGTCATTGCTGGATGTATGCCTTGATTTACAAATATTGGTGAAACGATGTCATGTTGGTGAGTGTTCAACATTTAATTAAATTTTTCTTTTCAAATTTAGAAAAGTGAAGTTGAAACAAGCCCTCATGAATATTTTTTTAAATTGTAGTTAAGCGCTTTATATTATTTAATTCAATTGTATCTTATTGTCTTAAAACTACACTTGTCCAACTTATTTGTCTTTAGATCCATATTATAAGTAATGAAAACACCAAGTATAAAAATAGGGACCCCAACACCATTTTTTCTTTTACTATCCTTAATTTCTTGTTGTTTTAAGTTCTTTAGTGTTATTTTAAATTTTCTGTGCGATTCCACATACAACAGCTAAGGGGGCGCCTGTCGCATTGATGGGATAGAGAAGGTTGGGCACACAGAAGAAGAATAAACCTTCCCTTAGATACGAAGCTGAAGGAAGTTCGTGTCATCTTTCCTATATCACAGGTCAGTAAAAATGCTTTTTGATGCATATATATTGGTTTCCTTTAAGAGTTGAAGAGGTTATTGAATCCATAGTCAAATAGTAAGCCACGTTATACAGTTTCTGATTAGTATTGTGTAGAAAACGGCATATATTTCTGGAGGCTAATTAATGCTAATGCTATCGGACTTTGTACGTGTGTTGAGCTAGTTGAGAAACAGAAAAGGTCTACTGAATTCATTACTTTGCGCTTTTTTGAACGGTTCTCACACAAAAGAACCGTGGTGTCTTTTTGTAAAATGTACTTTTTTTTTTATTGCAAAAGCCAGAGAAACCATATGGCTGCCCATGTGTGAAACTTAGTAAAGAGACACAGCATTAAAGGAGCCTTACACTTTTTTTCAGTTTTTGTGTAGGAGTTAAAATATTGTTCTGTTAAAACAGTCGGTACAATTAAAAGCTGAAATGCTTAAATATTAAAGTATATTTTATCTGTACAGAATAAAAATTCTAAAAGCTACTCAAATGGTTAAAAGCCAATTCATATATTTTTATTTTGATAGTTGAAAATACAAAAGGTCTGAGAAAAAGGGACAAGGAATTTGAGTTAAAGCACTAACTTGACAACTAATATGGTTTGGAGAATTAAAAGCCATCTGTGAATAGATTTTAATTGATAAAATTGATAATGTAATGTTAAACGAAGCATGTTAAAAGAATTCTCGTTTGGTTTAAAGGGGTATTATAACCATTGGTAATGTACTCAATTGAAGGGTTATCTACTGCAGTTACTCAGTGATACCTAACATATTTGATATGAAGTGAAGGAGTATGTAGATTACACAGAAGAAGAATAAACCTTCCTGTTAGATGCTAATAGAAGCTAAACTTGTGTGTCTCTTCTTTTCTTTATTGCAGTGTCATGTTGAGATGACAAAATTACCACATTACCCTCAGCCCATCCAAGGTTGCCAGGTAACAGTAGAAAACATTGAAGGGTACTTTTTCTTGTTGTGCAAAACTGTGATTTGTTTGTGTACCGGTATACCCCTAAATTCAACTTTTTTTTTTTTCAAATATAGCTAAGGTTTTGTTCACTCTCTTTCACTTTTAGTTTTTACAACTCTCTAGTTGAAGTCTGTCTCACTTGTCATTCGTCTGATCTTCATGAATTACACACCTGTTCATTATTATTAGCTCCTGTTGTGTATATACTGCCTAGTTTCTGTTGTATGGGTTTTCCTCTGTTTCCTTCTGTTTGGTTTTTGTCATGCCAGTACCTGTTCTTTGGACTCTCATTGGATTCCTGTTGGCTTTTTCTTGAGTGCATGCCTTGAAGTGTTTTAAAAGGGTGGCTTGAATTTCTTATAATGGGATTTTGTGGAGTTGCAGTAACCAGATGAAGGTAGGTAAAAGCATGTAAATCATCTGTTGTATCCTTATGAACTGTTTAAGATTAAAGTTGTTTTGAAACGGCTATTGGCCACATTGACACTTGCCCACTTTTTGCTAAAATCTCTGCTGAGAACTTTTTTTTTTCCGTCTTCAGTCTTAGACTGCCAGTTGTTAATCACTCCACACAACATCATTGAATGAAACCCATGCTACCCATTTTATATTTGTTCTGTAACAAGTTAAAAACCAAGGCTACTGGTCCTTGTTAAAATGCCAGGTTTTTGAGATGTTTCAAAATCATTTCAGAAAAAATTGACACAATTAATGAGCTAATCTACTAAGGAGGAAAACAAGATAAAATAAGCTGAAATAACTGTGACAAGAGTATACAGTTTTATACTAATCCCTTGTTAAAACATGTGTTGATTAATTCCCAGTATTCAGTCTTCTTTGAAGCCCTCAGTTGTTGTAAATCAGTGAACTGTAAATAAAGTTGAGCAATCCTGTTATGATTTTCTTAACATGTTCCTTAATTGCACGATTTAACCAGAGCTTGTAAAAAGGTCACAGTAGGTCAACATGATATTTTATGAAGGGCACAAAAATGATCCACAGGAATACATGTGTTAAAAGACACATTAATAACTGTATAAAATATGTCGGTTGTCTCCTGAACAAGGTTGCTTCTACTTGCATGCATGAGTAGAGAAGTCAGTTTCCCTTAGTTACTGTTGAGCTGTTTTGCTGCAATACAAAGAAAAAAACAAAAACATTTGTTGCATTTTAACTGGTTGGAGTGCAGCAGAAGGAAGGAGCTTGCCCAGAGCTCCATTCCTGTAAGAACCACAACTTTATGCTTATTTATATTTAAGCTTTCAAAGTTAGGCATAGTGATAAATTGTGATTAATCACAGTGCTAGATACTCTAAATACTAGTCCATTTCGACCCAAAACCCTCTAATGTTTGTTAGGAAGCTGAACAAGAAGAGTTATTTTATTTTCTAGAGTCGTTGTGATGGACCGAGCAGTTAAGGAACAGCCAGGCACCGGTTTAAAGTCAAAATAATTGTTTTTATTTAACCCAAAACAAAACTTGGGTGAATAATAAGAAAAAATGACAAAATTTGGGCCCATAAAAGAGGTCAAAGTAACAGACATCAACTCAGACTAACTCAAAAAAACAGACCTAACAAACAGAGACAAAAGGGGACTTAAATGCTGGCTGATCAGGCCACATACAACACACAAAGGGGAAAATACACAAAAACCTAACTAAAACTAACATAACAAAATCCCATTCCCCCCCTCTGGATGATGAGTAATGGTGTGAACCAATTTGCAGTCTCAGATGGCTTGCTCCACCCCTTCTCCACCTCTCTGCTCTCCTAAGGATTGGGGCAGCCAGCGCTTAAGAAACTCAGAAACAACAAAGATTAAATCAAGCAAAACACAACAATATAAACTAGAATGTGCGCACTTATTCCAGAATACAATGTGATGTGTTGCTTTCTAAACAAAACCAATTATTCTGTAAATTAAATCCTAAACTTAAAGAAATCCAAATATATGTGAGATAAACATATTGAGTATGGTGAGAGTGAATATTACCACAGTTGTGTGGCTGTAACTGCAGCCATCACAGTCGTAGTGAGACCAAGCATACATCCAAAACAACAAAAGAATAACTTTCCCAGAAGAAAATGTAAACTTTGGAATGGCTCAGGTGGAGTGCTGAACTAGAACGTCACAGATGTTAGATGGACAAGAGATCTCTTCCCAGTATGAGTGATTAGGAGAACGTTTGAAAGGTGATTTGGTGAGAGTTGCTGGATATTATCAAGTGTCCTGGAGTTGAATCAAAAGTATGAGTTTGTTCTTCCCAGATGTTTTTTTTCTGTTATAGTTGACTTGTATATTGTACATTTCACAGTAAAGTTGGAAAAAGATCTGCTATCATCTATTATGGTTTAATTTTTCTACATCACAACAACAAGGCTCTTAACATGGGGTGTGCAGACTTTTTATATCCGCTGTAATTGCCTGAACAGGATTCTGCATTGGGACCCTCTTCATTCATACTCTCCTTTGTCAAAGGAAATATAATTCCCCTGTTTTACGCAATCATATTTGCATTCATGCCAGAGCGCTTTTTAAATATATCACAGGCATTTCAATAGACAGCGCCGGTCTCTATTTGGAAAACCAGACCTCGGCACATAAATCTCACCTCTGTAAGTACTTAACGAGTGCACAATGTGTGTTTTATGTGTTCTTTATGAGTGTGGAAAGGCCACATCTTGAATGACACTCGCTGCCAGCGCTGTTGAGGGGTGGTGGGAGAAATCCAAAATCACTTTACAGGCTCATTTTCGAACATATGCTCACTTTCCACTCGGAACGAGTTTGCGTAAAAAAATACAACATGTTTCCTGTAATTTCTAATCACCTGCTTTTGTGCTTTAATCAGGCTCTGTTATTTAGCCATGCCTGGGTCGTGATTTAGCAGTTAGCTAATGACTGTGAAGGAAATTGGCTTCTAAAGTGGCTCACCGGGCCTCCAGTGAAGAGCGGCGTATGTCTCGTTATTGACTTTCTGACACGGGTCACTAAGGTGAGATCTCAGAAAGCTGCTTCGCTGATGCACAAGCTCGAATTAACAATTGCTGTTTGCTTTTGCCGTGAAGAAACATACCGGTTCTGAGCTCACAAAGACCTTTCTGGGGGATGGCTGCTCCTTTCAAACATGTTGTGTCCATCTGTCTATAAACGTGTTTGGAGGAAACAGATTTGATTTCCTGTCAATAATTGTACACCGCTTTGCAAAATCGTTCACGACGTTTGAGGTTTTTCAGATTGTGTCAGATTGCAACCACAAACTTCAATGTCTCGCAGAGGTTTTTGTTTATTAAATAAATAATTGTGAAGCATCTTCCATATATTTGCCAGCTCTGCGCACCTAGAATCTAAAACTGATCCCCAATCCTCTTGTTAACAAACCCAACATAAGTCACTGGACAGAAAGTTTCTGTGAACCTAACTGTTTAAGTCACCCCACAGATTCTCAGCTGGAGTTTGACTAGGCCTTTTTAACACATAAATATATTTGAATATAGTTCTTTGTAACTTCCAAAAGATTTCCTTCCAGGATTGTCCTGAATTTCACTCCATCCATTTACCCCTCAAGTCCAAACAGTCTTTTTTTTTTAGTCCCCAAATAAAGTTTCCCTTTTTGGCATAATTCTGCCACCACCAGATCTTTAACCTTTGGGTAGTCTTTTCAGGATTATATATGGAATATTGCAATACAAAAATTCACACTATTGAATTCTTGTTTATTGTTAAATGTATAAGATGTGTCCTTATTTTTCTACTTGTAATCATGCATGACGACTTTGTGATGTTCTATTTTAGACATTAGAAAAAAATTTAAATGGTTCATAAATATGTTTGTAAATTGTATAAAATGCAGACTGAAATTTTATTAAAGATTAAACACATATTGTAGTTTAACGTAGAAAAATGAATAAAGTTGCAGCTTAAACCTACTGAAAAACCCTACAAACTAAATTTACCAGTTCAGATTTAATGCAAGTATGCACACAAATCCCCCCCAAAAATGTCATGTATGTTCTCAGAGACACACATGTTGCCTTGAGACACATAGTTGTCCCTGATTTGCCAGTGTTAAAACAAATTCAACAGTATGCCTCCCTCTCTCTCCCACGCACACATACTCACTTTTTTCACTCTTTCTTGTTTCAATACATTTGCATATCTAGAAAGTGTTTCCTGGTAAGTAGAGCAAAAGCGGCTCTCAGGAGAGACAAAGACACAGATAGAAATTTGTATTAAAAAGAAGAAACATCTAAGCAGAAAAAGAACAAAACCACAGTACACCATTACTTTAATGATCCATCTTGTTCAAAGGAAACTTATTCACAATCCTTCAGCAATAAACAAGGGAATAAAACTCTGCTGTAAAGTGCATTTATTTTATTTATTTTTTTTACTTGAATGAAGCAGATGTTTGCTCTTCACTCTCTTTTTTTTCTGCAGTTTTTTTTTTTTTTTTTTTTTTTACCATTTTCCCTCCATTAGGTCATTCAGTCTCTCGGCTTTCTACTGTAAATGATACGTTAAGCCGATGGTGTTTAGTCTTATATTTCACGGTGCTGGACAAAAGGTCAGATACCTTGTGTCTCTGCCTTACTGCAGTTCTGGTTGCCTCTTTGGATAAATGTCCTCTTTTCTCCCAACAGGCCAATATATCGATGGTCCGGGGTTGAAGGGTTACAAGTCCCAGGAGGTGTCAACCTCATTACCCCAGAGTGGATCAACCCAGCCCAGGGGGCTCTCTGAGTATTTAGGTAACCTCTGACCTCTTGCTGCTGGAGAAGCTCACTCTTTCTGTCGCTCAAGCTGTGCAGTCTCCAGTTTCTATCTCCGCTCTGTGGCCGTGGGCTTTGGGGTTCAAGTTCATGATCAGTGACATGTCGAGGCAATCCACCGCATACACACAGGAACCAAAAAGTACATGCATAAAGTAAAAATCCAATTAGTATAGGGTCATTTTGATAAAAGTGAATCAGGAAGCGGGTAAGGTGAGAAATTTTAGCATTTACTTTTAGGTTGTAGTAGCTTTATTGGAATGAATTTCAAGTTTTGTCTCGTCAAAATAAAGGGCTAGTCACAATTTATATAAAAAGTTTCCGTTCAAATGTTATAAGCAGTTAATATCTAACCTATTGTAAAAAAGTTTCTCCTGGTATATTTGTTTAATATAAATCGAAATTATTGCGTGCCGAGCTTGAATGGTCAGAGTGAGACCACAGTCGCTCCCATCTGAAATAATCTCCAAGCTCAAAACCATTTTTACAATTTATGGAAAAAGCTGTTTTATTAAACTTTTGTGTTGATGTTGAACAGCTGTTTACAGAGAAACTTATAATTATTTATAAAGATACTCAGTGACTCTGCACCATCAATAAGCTTCCTGTTTGAAGTCCTTGCTGAAAACTTAATGTCTTGCCATTGACTGTCTGATGTAAAAGAAATGCAGATAAATAAATAAAAATGATATAATGATTTAAGTGAACTCTTTTATAACATCTTTGCATTGCCTTCATTTCCCAGTTGATATATAAACACTACATGTTCTATTCTCTGCCTCCAGTAATCTTTTCCCATGTAAATGATAATCTTAGTAAAACAAAACCCAATAGAACAGTGGAATAGCTTAAAAATCTGAAGCTTATACTTATGTAACACCTAAGTACTTACATTTTTTTCTGATTAGAGCAGCAGAAGTCCACTTTTGGTTTTGCCTCTTGACTGACTAGTTGTTATCGTCACACTTAAAGTCTAAATAATCTGGATTTTTAACAAAGAAAGTCATAATTTGTCGCTCATTGGAAATAAATGTGTATTACTTAAAAATTTGTAAGACTTAATTCCAAATTTTGCAAGAAAGATCTGTTTTATTGTACGTTTGAATTTTATAGGTACATCTAGGAAAAATAGTAAATTGTAGAAAAAGTTGGACTACTGGGTTTTCTGAAGTACACAGTCAACTTAGCCTTCAACCAGGATGTTTTAGAGAACTTCATGAGTCCTTCTACTTTTTTCCAATAAGACTGACACCTGTCCACTCAAAGGTACCAAAAGCTGGTTCAGTAACCATGGCGGTACTGTCTCTGATTGGCCATCAAACAGACCTGAAACTTAATAAATAGAGATCTTAGGGAGGCAACGGGTTGCACTACTCTTTGCAAATATGGGTCAGTATGAATTTTCTCAGTCATCTCATTTAAAGGACTTTCCACTGGTTTCAATATATAATGGAACTTTTTTTTCTTTCTGTGGTGTTAAAAAGAACCGTTGCCTTGTTGGAAGTTTATGCGTTATCTGGTAGATTGATTTTTGTTTTTTGTTTTTCTGGGAGGGGCAGTTTAGAAACTTCCTATTATTCCTCTTTAAGTCACACTTATTTGATTTGTTCCCATGACTTTTCATCAGATAAAAACCCTAGTCAATGAGTGCATTTCTTTCTCATGGATTATCTCTTGAAACTGGAGCATAATTCCTTCACATCTGTGGAAGCACTGCACAGTGACCCACCAAAAGCCCCCATGACACAGTGTGTGCAAAAGCAACAGGGCTGGATGTGCTTTGACAGAGGTACGGGGCAACAATCCCAGTCCTGCATCTTTCCTCTCGTCTCCACGCCTTTGTCTGTTTAATGCCTGATTGTTTAAGTGATAAGTGACTGTGATGGATGAGCTGGGCTTTGTGTAATTATTGTCCTGCTTATCATTGTCACTGCCGATAACATACATCACCGTGTCCCAGCCTATTTTACATGTGATAAATAATCATAGGTTGGGGGGGAGATGAATTCAAATCATTTTTGAGGCGACCCCTGTAATGTAACTCATGGCCATGTTAACAGAGGGTCATGCAAGCGAGAACGGGAGAGTTGTGTTTTTGAAAAGCTATATGTATGTTTCAGTGTAGAACCAAATACTCAACATTCCTGCATGTCCAAGCTTATCCACACAGCAGCTTCGTCTACGGGGAAGTCATTCAATCATTTTATATACTTTGTCAGAGGTTATTAGCTCTTTCTGAATCTCTTTCATGCTTCTCGGATACTTGACAGCCTTCACATGATGTCATCTGGGAGGATGCTTTATGGATTACGGCAATTAGCGCTCAAATCAAAGCTATTATTAGCGTTAATTTGCCTTTTACAGTTGACTGTGTGCATTGTTATGTCCTTTGAAGGAAGATTTACCCAGCATAAACGCATTGGAGTATTAAAATGATCACCAATAACTTCAAGAAGCCCATACACTGTACAATAGGCCTATTATATAATGACGTTTCTGTTTTTTCTGACTGACTTATAAGCACAATACAGTGATCTCTCACTATAATGCGGTTCACCTTTCGCAGTCTCGCTGTTTTTTTTCACAGTGGATTGTGTTCTGCGTCCTGATTGGCTAAACAGTCTCCGAGCTCCTTCTCTACCTGTGTGCCAATAACGTTACGGTATTTAAACATAATTAATACAGATTTGCCATTCAGGAGATGAAAGCTGAAAACTTTGAATGCCTGCTGGAAAAAACTGTGGCTCTGCCGTAGATCCAGCTGTGAATCTTGCGGGGCAGGTTGGAGAAGATGGCTTTAATGACATGACTCCGGATCACATTAAGGCCCGATTGATGAACACGCACATCCACTGACCTGAAAACAGGTTTTGTTCTTTGGATTTAATGTAGAGTATTTAATTATGCTGTATAATAATTGTAAAAACTAAAGGTAACTACTTCGCAGATTTCACTTATCGAGGGTTATTTTCGGAACACAACCCCTGCGAAAAACGAGGGATCACTGTAGACAGATTTTCTGCGGGACTACCTCAGCTTTTGTCTTACTGAGCCTCACACAATACAGACCAAGACTTCTGACCTCCGAGCGCTGTGGCTGACTGAGCATCGATGTGTTAATTGACTGTGCAACATTACATTAAACCATGATATGCTGCCTTGTAAGATGAGGAGAGACACATTTTAGAGATATTAATGTTGCAAAGTGTTCAAACATGGATTAAGCTAATTTTTTAACCTTAAAGCAAAGTCTTCCAGAACATCTTGTTCACTATGTACATGTCCCACAGCATGTGTAACCTATTTTTAAACACATTAGAACTTGTTTTGACAGGACAGACGGCTTTACGGGCATCTCACCGCTTACTTCTAAGGGACCTGTCTGGCTCTGCCGTTTGAAAAAGCCATGTGATCTCATCAATTACAATGAGCTGTGGAAGAGACCAGTGCTCCTTTACAAATTAATAGATGCTTTAAGAGCTTAGGGGCTTGACAATCAATTGAAAAGTTAAAAGACCAAAGAAAAATCCCCACAGGGTCATTTAACAGCTACACCAGTGCGAGGCTCTCATGTCTTTCATCTAGTGCAGGTGCAATGTTAAACATGTGATGGTGAAATAAGTCATCTAGTTTACTTCTTGATTTCCACAATAAACTCTTACAAATTGCTTCATAATTGTATGAAATACTAGAAAACAGTTGAGGTCAGTCATGTACATAAGCTCATCATTGACGTAAATATAATAATTTATGGGATTTGTATGGAAAGCCCATAAATTGTACATGTTCTCTAATTCACCCAGTGTAAAAAATACCCTTACAGGCCTTAATATAAACATTCACAACAATTATTATTGCGCTAAATGTCTTATAAAGACTTTTGAGAAGGCAGATACTTTTTGTAGTTATCAACATGGACCTACCATCATTCTGGATGAATATTTGTTTGCTCTGTTTGGCAGAATTGGCAGAGTTTAGTTATACTGCTTGGTTTCCTGCCAAGGAACCAGCTTTTAAGCTAAACGGTCGAGGTAATTTACAAGTTTACCATTAACTCACTTCAAAACCACTTTTGTAGAGTTTGTTCAAAGCACTCTATCCTCTCTATGATGTTGATCCAGTGTTCTTCAACTTGATTGTTGGCTTGTCTGACAAGAAGACTTTTCTCCAGAAGCCATTTGGGTTGCCATAGCTGCAAATGAACATTGAACACGCTGATCTTTTGGTGGCGGAGGGCTCAATTTTTGTTTGCTGCCATATCAGGCCACAGGGATGTAAAGCTTGCATCATTGTGGAGTGTGACCCCAGTTTTCCATCAGTTTCTGAATTGTTCTTGACCTTCGTTACTAAATTATTTTTATTAGATGATAAAGACTGGGTAAGATGTTGGAACTTGGACACAGTTGGGATTGCCAATGAGACAGAGGTCCAAAGACGCATCAGATTTAGTTTTGAATGATTTATATTACGCTTCTTGAATGGCCTCCCTAAAGTCTTGACATCCACCTTGTGGATAATACATGGAATATATTTAATGGTTGGGTCCATGGCATGAAAAAGAGCCAAGTTCAGCCAGGAAGAGTGGTTTGACATACAGCCAGAATTAAGCCAGAAACTTGCACATGGCTATAAAAAGTGTGGACTTGCCAATCTTTCTCAAGCAGTAGTTTCAGATGAGATAGGCTTCTTGAAATCCAAACCACATAAAAAAAACAAATCAAAATCAAATGAATTACAAAAACAAACTGGTAAATACATCCGAGACTCTTTTAAAATCACTGTATTGGCTCAGAGGACAACAATGAACCACAGTCTCCTTCAGATCTTTTGCAATGATTAGGTGTCAGGTAGAAATGGCCAAATTCCTGTTCACCCTCTACCCAGGACACAGGGAGCAATCTCGAGTTCCTGAAGGCCCATCAATCAGAGCTGCTCTGTGGAAGTGGAACTGTTGGACAGGTCAGACAGGTCAGAGAGCA